CATTCCTGCCTTCCTACCTCTTCAGTTCTCTGCAGTTCCTCACCTTCATATTTTTTTGATAAAAAATGAAGGTTTTAAGATCCTTCTGAGTTGATATCAGAACCGAAGTACTTCACCATCATCCTGTGCTATGATTATGCTGCCTGGCTGTGTTCTAGATGCGACTTAAAATGCCAGTACAATCATGATAGTTGATGAGTATAAATGCCAGGAAAACTGGATCTCCTTTTTGCATGTAATATATCATAAAGAACTTTTCCACAGTTTCTTGATTTATTGATGATAGGTAAAATTTTAATATTAAGGATATACCCCTGTGTTCTTTTTCTTTTCAGTTTAAGAGTTGTATATAATATTACAGGTCCACCATGAAGCTTTTCGGAAGTGCTCATCAAGTAATGTAACTGCAGCCAGGCTAGGCTAAGAGAGTAACTGCTGTTGCTGGGAAAGGTTGCCTTTCACTCTCTTAACTCCCATAGCCACCCTGTACAGTACATTACTTCCATAGAAGCAGCAGTAGCAGCCACAACTCGGTTCCTGAGCAGAAATATAGAGCAATGAACCACTTTTGCAGCCTTAATAAACTGATGCCTGGAGTCAACATTTATCTGCATTTACAGATAGCAATATTGAAAATCTATCTCTGTGTTGTCTGAAGCTAGTAAGAAAAACAGACAATCAATCCCCTCACTAAAAGTGATGACTGCGCAGAACATTGAAAAAGTTCTTGTAACCCCTGTGAAAAAGTATGGGATTGCATCATTTTTTAATTCCATCCTCATATGGTAGACAACTGTTCAATGAAAGCACTCTATTCATTCCCAACATAGATAGCATTTCCTAATTAAAAATATCAATAAATTGATGCTTTCTCTTGTCTGTTATTATGATTCTTTATACTTCCGTAGTGCAACATATGAGAAATCTTTCTGCTAAGTTAATGAAGTATTACTTTTTAAAAAAATCCATGGAGGAACTCAGATATGTTTTGTCTAGCAGACACATTAGTAAAACTGCAGAAAAATATTGTGAATGTTGTCTTATTAGGACATAGTCCTTTCTGACATCTCAGAAAGGCATATTTAGGCATATTTATGAAGATATAATTTGCAGTCATCATATGTGAGGAAGGTGAATATTGTGCCTGTGATAGTTGTTCTCACTGAAAAATCATTTTTTAAAAAAATCTGAGATTTATATGCAGTAGTCTCAATAAATAAAACATCAAAATATAATAGCTAATTAATGCATATCTTTTAATGATATTACTGTAAATATGACTTTGCTCACTTCTGGTAGGAAGATTAATTTGTTTGTTGTCCCAGTGTAAGATGTATTCTGTAGTAAAAGACATGGACTGTCTTTATTATAATATCTAAAAATTCAGGGAAATTACAATTTTTTAATTTGTCCATAGATAAAATTGAAATTTTGGAAGGATTTGTACATACTAGGAATTTATTTGACCTTAAATATAACAATATGTTTAAAGTTTTAGGTTTTTTTTTCTTTTACCAACATAATCCCTTTTGTAGCCGTTCATCGGCTCTCAGTACAGGAGACAAAATAGACTATAGCAATATCAGGCACACTGAGGTCAGTATGGCTCAAATGGTTGTGACAGTGAATTGAAAATACAAAAGATGACCAAAGTTGTTATATCATAGGTGCTTGCCCTGCCCTTCTGGTCAATGCTTCTGACCCATTGTAACATTGGATGGGATGGGCTGTTGGAAAGAACATAGCCATCACTGAAATCTGCCAGCGCCTAGCTGTCCAAACTGAGATTCTTACTGGTATAACTTCATCATATTGGAAGCAAACTTTTGTACTAGTAAACATTTTCTACTGTTGGACAAGCTTTTGTTTCTTACTGATTCCTAATATCAATAGTTTTTTCTTACTAGCAGAATAAAATCCTAAAAATGTCATCTTACTTGCAAGAGTTATCACACTATTTGCCCCTCTCTCTCTTTTTTTTTTTTTTTTCCTTTTGAAAAGCATTTGGACATAATGAGTGCCCTGATCCTGGAGTGCCAATCAACGCTCGGCGTTTTGGTGACAACTTTCAGCTGGGGAGCTCAATTTCTGTTATATGTGAGGAAGGATTTATTAAAACACAAGGAACTGAAACAATTACTTGCATGCTAATGGATGGAAAAGTAATGTGGAGTGGACCTATTCCTAAATGTGGAGGTATGTGTAATATTTCTTTCTGATTCAGGAGAACTTGATATAATGTTTTTTAAGTTGTCACCAAATGAAGTTCAGATTTTTGCAAAAGAATAGCTATTGACTTCCTGCTTCAGAGAGATGAACAATTTTAAATCAATGAGTGATCAGTGATACTAGATTAGAATGAAGATGTTGATCTCTTTCAGGTCCTTAGCTGTGGTATTTAAAACCATCTGAGAGGTTTTAGCTATCTGTTGAAGCATTTATGATTCTTCTTTCCACAGTGACACCTAGATTGGGGGAGATTCTCTTAGCAATTGATCTTCCTATTTATAGAAATTAAGTACTTCCATACATCAAGACCTCTAAAACACAGTGTTATGCGTATTTCCTTGGACTTGTTTGTACTAATATATATAAAAATATAATCTTTGCTTCATTAATTGTCTGTATTTTAAGATCCCCTCACCTTAAGGGAAAAAAAAATGCATTCAGTGTCTTGTAATGTTTTAAGAAAAAAATATATTATTTAATCAATAATAGTGCAATCTCTGATTTATATTTTGTTAGCTTTTACTTTAAATAAAAGTTTAGCTTTTATTTTCACTATGTCACTAATTTCCTAACAAAGTTTGCTTAATTTTAATACATGAATGTGACTGCTTATAACACACTTTGCAGCCAGTTTACTTTTTGTGATAAATTATTATTTTTTTCATAGACATAAGGTGGATCAGTTTCCCTAGACCAGATTAGTACAGGCTGTGAAGCACTTGCTTTATTATAAGGTTCATGGGGCAATGTAACACTCCTAATAAAATATAAGGTTGCATTTTCAATGTTACATTAAAAACTTAATTAATAGGAGTATTTTAAAATATGTCCATGCACAAAATAATCTGATACATAGGTGCTCTGAGACTCTAAATGGAACATATATTGGTATCCTAGAGGTTGGAACACTGGTATATTTGAATCACATGTATTTATCAACTGTAGAATTAGATATATTTTTAAAAATTAAGATAAAGTTTGAAGACAAATTAAAATATTTTTAAGCTAATAATGTTATTTGGTCTATTGAGATGTTCAGCATTCTTATTGACTGTGTACGCATTTGCCTCCAACAAATAGTCATTTCGTGTAAGGCGAAGTTTGCTTGCCCTACACACATAGCTCATAATTTTGTTGTTGTATGTATCAAGTCAAAGGCATGAACTCCACATACTGACTAGGAGACATTGAATGCGACTGTTGTGCAGTCTTCCACGGCAGAAATGTCAACTATTACAATATATAGGAGAAAACCATTTAATAATAAATGTGGTGCAGACGGACAGGGTCAGCATACTTGTTTTCAGGGCAGTCCTGACCAGGCTCTGCTGGAGCTTCCTCCCAGCCCTGCCCATGGCCCAGGATCCCATTTCAACTCAGCCTGGGGCTGTCGTTCCCTGCCCCAGCAATGCCACAAGAGTGCTGGTCTCCAGCCCCATTCTCTGCTGATATGAGTGTGCTCATGGGAGTTCCTGGTTTGACCTCAGACCTAACTCATCAAATTACATGAATCTGATGGTCACTTGGCTGCTACCAGACCCTTTCCTGTCACCAATCCAGTCCTGTTCACCTTTCTCAGGTGGAGCTGGATGATGCTCTGTCTGTGAAGGTACTAACTCTGCCTGTGTATACATGTGTGTGTGATCATTCTTGGCTCCTGGATACTCTTCTCTACTGGAGCAGCCCTGGTTTTGCTGTTCCCTGATGCATTTGAATTTGAGATTCCTGTCCTTGTGCTTTTCATTCTTCCTGCGTGAGGGTTATATGGAGAATTTTCCCATAATCTCTTGTAATATTATGCTGTTGTACCTGTGCTGCAGCTCTAACCTTGGTCTTCCTGCATAACTCCTCTAATGCTTAATATCCTGCTGTTCTGTGGCATGGGTGATAAGCTCTTGAAAAAAAAAAAAAAGGTCTAAAACTATGAATCTACAAGATATTCAGTGATTAGCCTGTTATCCTCAAAGCTTTCTTCATACTCATCTATGGAAATTTCCTGCCTCAACTCCTACACCATACTATAAAAAGAAATAAACAGAAATGCCTTTGTGAGAACTCTTAATTCAAGCTAAGACTGGAGATGTTCAAAAGCTGGGTGGTCATAGTCCATATCATGTGCTTGTTTAGGTAAAGACACAAATAAATTACAGAGCAAAATTAGCAAATTTGCAATTTATTGCAAATTTGCTAATTTATTGCAAAATTAGCAATAAATTGGAGCAAAATTATCTTCCTTCCTTCCTTCCTTCCCCCCGACCTGCCCCCCGCAATCAAAGACCCTCACAAATTCATTATGAAATCACTTTAAGGCTATTTCTTGTCTTCACTGGAAACTGTATCACTGTACAGATGCCTATGATGTAAATAAATATGTCTATGTGTCTGGTGAGCCTGGCAAAGAAAGAAAGCTCATCCTTCACTTTATGAAATGAAATTCAGGGGAAATTCCCAGCTTGATTATATCAGCTGTGTCTGAATTTTGAGGCTTGGTGAAATCCAGGGTCATTGGGTGAATCTGTTCAGAAAAGTATCATAAAACTAAAACCAAACAAATATATTCAAAAAACAAAAAAGAAAAAAACAACTCTCTAAGGTTTTCCTTTAGAAAATAGGTTTAGTCTCTGTGGGTTCAGATCCTGAGAAGCTCACCAAATCTAATTTGGGCTAGATCAAATCCTTAATTAGCAATTAAGGAAAGAATCTCATGATAACAATAACTGTGTTATGCATTTATAGTTCTACGGGCTAGTATATTTACACCAATATTCATCAGAACCAACAAAGTATTTAAGCCTACTTCTAACTGGAGAAACTGTGTTTTCCTGTTGTGTATAAGTTAATGTGTGACCTACTTGATTATTGTCTATAATAAAGCTTATATATATGTATATACACATGCTAAAGTTCATGTTCTTCTGTAGTTATTTGTACAGATGAACAAATCTCACTCTTGGCACGTATCTATGTCATGTGCAAGAGAAAAGATTAAGGTGACAAAGATCCTTATTTTAATCCTGCTATCTCTTCATTCAACCTTAAGGTACCCAATCCTATCATTTTCTACTGCAGTTTGCAGCTTAGAATCTGCTCATTGATACCTTTTACATCTCAGTAGCGTTAAAAAGTTCTGCTCTCCAGAATACAGTGTCCTCAGTCCAGGAGTAGCGTTGCTATGGTCAAAATGTTTTGTAGAAGTACACCTATGAAAAAGTAAATAGTTTTTTTGTGTCCCCTGAAAACCATCTTCTCCTCAATTAGGAGAGATAATGAGATATAAGATTATTGCTTGATAGCCTTCTTAAGCTGAACCCGGAGAATCTACTTATCCAGTTAGTTCAATTCTTATTGAGAAGTGATTAGTTTCATTAGACTGTCTAGAATAAAGGATATCCAGTGTTTGATACTGTGTTGTTGAGAACTCTTTGACAAATAGATGTCTATTCTCATCCAGGTTGCGTCAGTGCACATCTGTACCACACAACAGATGGTAATGGAAAAGAGATTGGTGTAAATGGTTCAGTTTTACTGTCTGCTTTGTATTATTTAGCACTGTCTACAAAAGGTGATACCTACCTCTTCAAGGCTGATGTTTTGGGGAAGCAATGAATTTTGCTCTGCCTGGTTGTGTAAGGCACTGAAATATATGTTGCTTGTTTACTTTGTTGCTTCACATAGGGGACATACAAATAAGTCTGATCAAAAAGATTTTGTGACAGAAAATGTTAAGTTTTACTTGAATAGCTAATACATTCTGCAGATTTCTGTTTCCATAAAACAGTCAGCAATTCCTGAAAATACAGAAATTGTAGACTGCTCATCCTTTGAGACTGTGGTCACCAGTTTAAGGGCCTGCTCTATGTAATGCTTTCCCCTTTTAAGTGCGGCTTTGTTGACCGTAATGGAAAACATATTTGTTGCAGAAAATAAAGAGCATATAGCTTACATTTCACAGGTTCTAAATTATGATCTGATACGCCAAATAAGGCTTTACATGTTTATGCTGTTATGGTAGTCTAGTGAAAATCATCTCTTATACTGTTACATTTTTTCTTAACTTTCTTTTTCCTTATGATAGAACTTAACACCTTATCAGGTCCTTATCACTTTCTATTTTCATCAAAGCAAGCTTGATTGTCTCCTCATAAAGTTGCAATATGCAAGTCAGAATAACTATGAAAAAGCTTTTTTTATAGTATTACTCCTCCCTTCCTCTTCTATACCTAAGATTCTAGGTAGTCCATTTTAGTAATAAAAATAAAACCAATATTATATTAAAATCAACTTATTAAACGTCCCTGCTTGCAACTGTTTTTACTGAAGTAGCTGGATTTACTAAGGGACAGCAATTTGCAAGTGTTTCAATAAATGAAAATGTTTAATTTAGAGTCCAGTATTATACAAATTATTTCTTCCCAGGAATAAATAATTAAAATTAGTTGTTTGTTAAGTAACATTGTAACTCAAGGAAAATATATCTTATTTTTTGAGAGGAAAATATATTCAGAGATGAGTTGCTTTTCTGTCTTCTCTCCTGTGGATCAAGGAGACCGTTTTTTATAAGTTTTTATTTTAAAAATTCTAATATTTCTAGTGATGAAATTACTGCATTTCTTAGATGTCAAAAATTCAAGATATTTCTGTGAGTTAATTTCTCTATTTAGGGAATATCAGTCTCCTACTGAAAACAAATAAAAACATGCCAAGTACTTCCACATTGTCTCACCCATCCATACTACTGAGGAAATGATGATCTCACAAAAGTCTGATGACACACACACTTGACTACATACACATGTAGATCCATCAGATGTAATGGGTTTGCATTCATGCATGAAATTAAAAACCTTCACAAAGCTTTGCAAGGCTTAAACCTAAAAGATCTGTGTTTTAGCAGTATTGATTTTACAGTTCTTACTCTTCTCACCTGTGAGATTATACCATCTTTGGGATAGACTAGCACTCTCCATAGCCAAAATCAGAATCAATCAAGCATATTTCTTACTTCTGAGAATCTCTCTTCTGCCCTATGACTAACTGTCTTGACACTGGTCATCTACTGGGAATTTCCCTTATTCTGTACTAGCTCCTCTTCAACTATTTAAGAAGAATTGCTACCGAAGAAATGCTCTTCATCTTTTTAATACCTATGGCTGTGGAGATTATTCCTATAATTAATGCTTCATTAAGCCATTGAAAAACTTGAAATATTATTACCAACAACTTTGGTTTCAATTATGTTTTAATACAGTTTTCCTAGCTTATATTTACTTATTATGTCTGAAGGAAAAACTACATGTTATTTCCAGTAATTCTGCTTCCAGATATACATATTACAGTATTTAATATATACTTGGCAAATGCTTCAAAACTGTCAGATAATCTTGTAAGAATGGTAAGTATGTCTTTTTCATGAATGAAGAATTTGAACTGCCAATGTGACAAGCAAAATGTATGTGATATGACAGTGTATTAATGTCAAAGTTAAAATAACAATTCACTACTTTCTAGCTTGAACTGAAACTTTTGCAAGCTTTTCTAATCTCTGCTCACAATTAAAAGCAGAAGTAATAACACTTTTTAAACATACTGTTTTGTTGTATTCCTTTATTACAGGAAAATTGTATCTGTAAGAGTACAATATAAAAGCTTTGTTAGAACTTATTGAACAGTTTATTTTATCTTTTTAAGGTGTTAAAGTCTGTCAGCTTTGAAGCCTTGTATGTTCATGAAGCTGGACTTTTAAAATTTGTTGGTTATAGACATCCTACATTGAAAGTAATAATTGTGAATTACATATAATAATTCTGTGTTATTATACCTCTCTCTTTCTTTCATTTTTAGCTCCATGTGGTGGGCATTTTTCATCTCCCAGTGGAGTAATCCTGTCTCCAGGCTGGCCAGGGTATTATAAAGATTCCTTGAATTGTGAGTGGGTGATAGAAGCTGAACCGGGACACTCTATCAAAATTACATTTGAAAGGTCTTGACTAATGTTTTTCTTACTTAATATTTTCTGATTTTTACCCAGAAGCAGGAGTTTATTAGCTCTGTTATATCATTAATTTGCACTGCCTCTAAAATCAAGCGATTGTATTGTCAGGTAGGATTTTCCAAAACACCTTAGTGTCTTCAGAGCATGTATTTTATCTTCAGTGTAATTTATATTTTGAATGACCAAAAAACTTTTGAAATTCCTACCATCTTGCATATATTTAAGCCTGTCTGGCTCAGTTAAAAATTTTGTCTGTTTTTAAAGATTAGCATGTTTCATTTACTCATAACTGTGTTGCTATGATGAATTATGAAATATTTTTTTCTCTCAATCCCATTAAATCTCTACCTCTAAAAATCTGAATCACCTGTAAAAACCGAATTAAATACATTCATATTTTTATCCACTGAATATTTAATCATCAAATTAGCTGATCTGTTTTTGTGAAAGGACTTTGTGCTCTCAGGATGGAACTCCAGTTTCCCCAAATTACTGCAGCATTCCACTTTTCCTGCATTACTACCTGTTACTTAGGTCCCTTCCCAATTCCAAGGATTGAAATATGCTGAGGAACTTAAATTCCTCATGGCAGCAAGGTGCGGGCATTTCATTTGAGGTCTTTATGAGAAAGCAAAAGAGACAATGTAATTATGAAATGCTATATGGTTTAAGTATTGTCAAGAATATTTTAAATTATTTTTAATGGTAAATATTAGTAAAGTTAGATGATGATCCAGGAAAAAAGGGCTTTTGATGATCAAAGTTATAGTGCACAAATATAATGCAAGTACTTTTCAGTTGCTGTTTATGCAGTATATTTGACTACTCCTGGTCACAATCAATTTTAAAGAGAAGATATCACTTAATTTTAGTACAATTCAAAAGTTGTTTTTATCAAGGTGTGAAAATTACCATCTTCTCTTTGCAAAATTTCACATTGTGGTAAGATTATTTAAAACATTTTTCTGGTACTATAGTTTACACTATAATGAAGCATTCATATATACAGAGGACAGTTAATATGGACACTTCAAAGGTATTTCCTATCCTTAACATCCAATGAAGGCTGGTCTTCCAAAATCACTAATGCTGTACATCAGCTTAAAAAGCTTTACCAAATTTTTACTAAAATACAGAAAGGAGTGAATAACTACCTCTTGCAGTAATTAATCAAATGCATATTAGTCCAAAATTAAATTATTTGTTTGCTTTATTGTCTTGTAAATCAAATGAAAAATAAAAATTTTAGAACTTTCGTTAACTCAAGTTTTTTAGAAGAGAAATATAATTTCTTTTTAATTCAGCTTTCCATTTTTGACTACACATTTTATCTGGATAGTAATTTCAAAGTGAAAAGCATTTGCCTTTTTATTTGCAAAATTCTATGACAGCTGAATTTTCTTCCTTTATACCTGAGTTTCATTAAATCTGACAGTCTCTTGTGTACATGTTTTGTTAGTAATGCATTAATATCTTGTCATAAAATTTCTCAATCTGTTACTCTTGTAGGTAACAGCAATAAGAACAAGATGTGGTCTCTTAAGATCACAGATAGAGCTCTAACCCTCTTTAGAACCTAATCCCGTTGTGACATTATGACACTTATTTTTCTGTTACTGCTCATTTTTTACACTCTTTTTGCTTGCAATAAATTGGACTGACATAAATATTGCTCACATGCATAAATTCAGAGAGGCCCTACTTGCATATGGATGTGTGAATGCTTATGTGTTTCTGTGCAGGAATAAATGTAAAAATAGGTCTAAATATGTTCACACAAGTGCACTTAGAAATATAATTACTTGTTTGGCTGTAAAGAAAAAGTTATTGCATAAACCAAATAATGAAATAAATCTTCATAGTGTACTAAAAGAAAACATTTTGTAAACTACCAATGTTAAGTTTTTTACTTAATTGTTTTTCACATAATTTAAATTTACATTCTGAGGCATTCATACATTAGCTTCTTTTTAAAGATTCATTCTAGTCTGACTGTCCTTGTTCCGCTCCTTCCTATTGGAAGTCTTCAAATGGACTTTCTTAAGACAGAAGGTTAATTTTGTTGAAATATACACTTTTAAAACTGTAGGAAATTGACTTTGGTATATGATTTGAAACAAAACAAACAAACAAACTCAAACCTCCAAACAACTCATACTTTGTCCTGTTCTTAACATTTCACCTTTGTTCTGAAAAACAAAGAAAAATACTTTTTCTAGCCTTTCTTGGTGCAGATACTAAGACTTCCACAATATGTGTAGTTATTTGAAAGAATTTTAATTTCTCAGTCAGGGTGAAACATTTATATTACATGTCTAGAGTCTTTACATCCTTTATTTTTGGGTTTTCTAAGAGGGAGGGAACAGTTCTTACTAATGCCCATTTCCTACAGAGTGACACCTTAACATTACATCAGTTTATCACTTCCACAGTAGTTTATTTCCTTTTAATCTCCCATCTTTCTATCTTCCTATGACTTCTCTCTTATGACATCATAAATGTGTGAGGTACTGCATTCTATGACTGTGTGCTAAAGAGCTCCTGTGCCATGGAGCCATAGACAGAGATGAAAAGAAAGAGATCTACAGACAAAGGGAATAATAATAACTAGTAATTTTAGTGCTTTCAGAGGTTTCATAATAACTTTTTCGTATTTTGTTTTATGATCATGCATGTATACTTTAAAGAGTTTACTCCTGTTGTGCAGACACAGCTATGATACATAATCTGTTGGATTTTTGTTATAAATCAGTAGTTTAGGCTGAATTTAAATTATAGGATTGAGAAATATGAGTGCCATTCTTCATGGTAATGAAGTATTTATCATTAAGCCTAATTAGTATTTAAATACTAGGACAGTTAATCAGCAAACTACTGATTGGAGTACTAGTCACATTTGACTAATGAGTGTACACTGTGCAGCAGGATATTCTACTCATATCCTGACACTGGTGTCTCTTAGAAACAAAGACGCATTTTGTAAATATTAAAGCAGCTTTATCTGTTCAAATAAGATAGAAAAGGTGTGTTACCTCCTGTGTTAAAGTTTGTTTCTGTCCTATTTGCTTGAATGAATTTTTGTGAGTCCCCCATAAGGATAGACCTCACATAGCAATGAAGCCATCCAGGTTAACTTAAGAATAATGTCTGGTTAAATAGGAAAGAACATTGGGTTTTACATGAGAACAGAGTATGTTTTATTCAGTTTCCTATAATCCCTACTGTTTTCTCACACCAAGGAATAACCAGTTAAGCATCAAAAGGAAAGGTATTAAAGGAAAAAAAAAAGAACCACTTTGTACATAATCCTCCTTCAAATTTATTTCAGCTCATCTCACTAAAAATCTGTCCTTTTTTTTTTTTTTTCTTAAGTGCTTACTAATTTTTTTCATCACTTTATTTTTCTGTTTGTGGTGTTGTATGTAGTCTTTGAGCAACAAGTACTTATGAGAGGATGGTTTCCCTGCTCATGGCAGTGGGGTTGGAACTAGATGATCTTTAAGGTCCCTTCCAACCCTAACCATTCTATGATTCTGTGATTTCTGTTATGTCTTTGGACACTCAATTTCATCATGTCGTGACTATCCGGATAGTTGCTTTGCATTTATGAGGTCAATGCCTTTTTACACATTCTCACTCAAATATGCTTATGGTAAAGGAACTAAAAAGCAGAGCAAGACTAAATGATCTGTTTCCAAGATTGCTTCTGTTTCATATGGATTAGTGGGAAAAACAAGTACTGGAAAAAGCAAGTTACTGCCTAGTCGCTTTTTAGCAATGTATCATTATGAGTTTATTTGGAAACTAGCAAAAAAAGAAATTTTCAGTTCTCCTGCTTCTAGGCTTATTCTGCTTTATTTCCTTAACTCCCTATTATTTTATTTCTGTGCTCTTCTCTGTGTTATTTCATATGAGAGGGACATGGATAAAAGGAAACATGTTTTGGGCAGCTTTAATTTAGATCTTTAGGCTCAGACTCATGGCACATAAATAATGAAATACAGAGATCCTCAGTACCTTGGCGTTAGTCATGCAGTTCCTTGAATGGATTTCACAAAGCTGAATTAGGCATGTAAGTGAATCAGAGAGAGAATTAAGAATATCTGAAGGTTCCTTGTAGGATCCTGTTGTTAACTGTTTCTTTTTAGCTCTGAAAGGCTTTTTCAGTAATCCATCAGAGAGTCCATAAAAGTAATGTGATTGATGTAAGATCTGTCATAATGAGAATGAGAGAAACCAGTCAAAATACCAAACAGGTGTTTGGGATTCCTGGTACCATCTAAAACAAGACAAGCATGGAGATACGTAGCAGTGCTGTCATGCTCAGCTTTTCCTTGACAGAGACAGCACGCATACTGTCTCTGAACAGGCATTTTTCTTTATAGTGCTTTCCAATCAGGATTTTATATATATATTTTTATTATTATTAATTTTATTTTTTTTTTTCCCATAACTTCTGCCACTACTTTGAACTGAGCCTCAACTGGCACAAAGCCACTGGAGTCTCAGAGCAGACTGAAGTAATTCTGTCCTGCTTATAGATGATTATAAGGGTAGTTGCTCAGAGTGTAATTCTTTCATAATATAAAGTACCTTGATGATATTTGTGCCAAATGGAATGGATGTAATTAAAGAATGCATCAACATATCCTCTATATGATTTACTTATTTTTTTCTAAAAAGAAAAATAATTTTGTGCAATAAAATAGTATATGCAAGTACTATTAATATTTGCTAACAAACTTTGTGTTTCTTTCGTGTCCTGCAGTACAAACCAGCTCAAGGAGTTTAAACATTTCTTTTCTTACTAAGGCACTAACCTGAAATTTTATTTTTGTATTAATTATGTAGGATAATTAATACTATTATATTGATATTGTAAAATAGATATGTGGAGAAATAATTAAAAGAATATGATGAGGAAAGGAGCGTAGTTTTAAACTGTGGCTTACTTTGTAAAGGTTTATTGAATTTTTTTAAACTGCTTCTTATATTTGTGCCTCTGTGTCTTTCCTCAATTCCAGATTTCAGACAGAGCTCAACTATGATGTTTTGGAAGTTCACGATGGACCAAATTTATTGTCTCCTCTTCTGGGATCTTACAATGGTACACAAGTCCCACAATTCCTGTTTAGCAGTAGCAATTTCATTTATCTTCTTTTTACAACTGATAACAGTCGTTCTAACAATGGATTCAAGATTCACTATGAAAGTAAGTAATTCTGAATTCTATTATTCTATTTCCCGATTAGTCATAAATATATAAAGATGCACAGGTGTCGACTTTGGTAAATTGCTGTTGTATATTAAACTGAGAAAGATTTAGTGATAGTAAACTGCACAAGGGATGACCAGTAATTTCATTTGCCATTTAATGTCATTGCTGTACTGTTCCATACTTTTAAGAATCAGAAGATGGGAATGGGAAGCAAATGCGTTTCTTCCGGGTGTTACTTTTATGTCTTGTTATTCTTATATTGTATACAATACATTTTTTGTGTGTGTAAAAGTGCATGAGATCAGGAACATTATGAAAATATAAGCAAATAATGAATTACTGTCCTGATTGATGTACCTGCAGCTTTAACTGAAGGTAATGGGAAATGCAGTTTACACTAATGATTATGGATTACACTTGATTACAGATTTTTAGGGATCTAAAAACCTACATATGTGATTTGTTCTGACATACAGAAGTCTTATTTTTTGCATTATCTTAGTCGTATAAACTACACAGCAGGTAATATCTGTAAGATTTCATACTTCATGAATTCTAAAAATTCATATAAGATTATATCATACTTTTTGTGCTTATAAATATACCTTTTGTAAATATAAGTAATATTTTCATATGAAATAGTATTTTTCTGTAATCACTGTCTAATTTGCTTAGTAAAGGTCATGAGCACATAGTTATCTATCAATTTCTGTTTCATACTCCTACTTTTTGGAACTGTCACCCAGCAATTTTTAGATGTTCTTAATTTTTTACATTATTTTTGGCCATTTTCACTATTCATAACTAGTAATGATAAGGATATTGAATACAACAGATGTGGAGATGACTTTACTAGATAAAATTTGGGTTGATGTGAACTCCAGTGAATGTCAGGTCTGGCTGTTTAATGCAAAGAAACCCTATTATTATTCCAAAATTCTTTGGAATAATGGATTCCCATCCATTCTGAAGTTTGAAAAATGGCTATCCTTACAAATCAGGAAATCTAGATTAATATTGTCAGCAGAAACCACTAAATTCTTAAAATTATTGGCTACATGAATAATGTTAAATGATACAAATTAGACTTTGGGAATATGAACAGCAAAAAGAGGAAAGATGCACTTATTAGAAATACCCTTATATCAAACTGTTTCAATTAAAGTTTGAAAAGAAACCTGAAATTTCATTATAAATGAATTCTTCAATTTCATTATAAAATCCCTTTTTTCTAAAATTTATCCCTACCCCACAGTTCTCTTTACACTAGTGCAGAATGAAAATTAAATTTATACTATCAGAGAACATTTCAAATATGTCTTTACCGTTTTTTACACAAAATAAACCATTTTCAGTAGTTATTTTTCTGCTTAACATCTTCTGTTTGTATACAGACATCTAGTATTAATTTTATTTTTGTTTCATTTTTACTGGTTCATTATCTTGTATTATCCAGTACAACCCAATTCTGATGTCCCCTTTCTGGATAATAATAATGATTAATGGTACTCTATTCAGCATTTTTCTCTTCAAATATCCTATTTAAAGCTGAAGTATTATATATGTTCTTATTTTCTGTGCTAATTATTTCTTTCCACACTGAATTTCTTTGTAAAGAACGATATTTTATGGCTTTTGTGTAGGAATAAAAGGAATAACACCCATTAAAAAAATAAAAGGAATAACACCCATAAAAAAATCTTATGCTGACTACTACTTCTAATTTGCTAACATCAGTAATATTCCTTTAGTTTTTTGTTTCTTTCTTTGTTTTTCCCTGTTTCTTTTATAACGAAGTTAAACTTCTCACTGGGAAATAATCTAAAAGTTTAAATTTTTAGCACACATTAAAGTTCTCTTTATCAAGTCAACTTCTCTTTACTCTTTTTTCTGCTATTCTTTATCTTCTCAATATCTCACATATCAAATAGCATTAGTTATTAGAATTATTTATGTAAATAATTGATCTATGTAAATATTTCAAGGATAAATATCAAAAGAAATGAAAAGCATTTTAGCTAGGATAACAAAGTTTGATCAGAAAAAAATAAAGGCTGGAAATCAGAATTTTGAATGATCATCAGAGCTTTTCAACATCTGCATCAGGTACAAAATCATGTAATGTTACTGAGGTAGGATCAAATTAAATATCTTGTACATTATGTGATGTTTTTCTCTGCGGGAGTGGCAGGATGCAATTCATTATCCATAAAATCTTAGAATGGTAATGGAGAGAAATATAGTACAAGGGTGATTCACTGAAAGTATGTTAATGAAGCCTTCAGTCCCACTCACAGCACAGTGAATTAGTTAAATTAATTTTTAAAAAGTCTATAGGTTGTTTATGTGACTTTTTTTTTTTTTTTTTTTTAATCCTAGGTGTAACTGTTAATACTTACTCTTGCTTGGATCCTGGCATACCAGTGCATGGACTTCGTTATGGGCATGACTTCTCTATAGGTTCTACTGTCTCATTTAGTTGTGATCCAGGTTATAGACTGAGTCATGAGGAGCCTTTGCTATGTGAAAAAAATCACTGGTGGAGTCACCCACTCCCAACTTGTGATGGTAAGGATGAATGGATAAAATACAGAATACCTCAGAATACACACATTTTGCCAAACTGTTGTTATTCAAATTGAGTTAAATGTTGGAGCTTGTAGAACCTCTATTTTTAGGAAAAAAAAATAGTTAGAGGAAATAAATGTTATATAACTCTGTGTGATGAGATATTCAGTAATAAAAGTAGAGAGTAATATATTACTCTTTAAATCAGAAGATTATTGAAGATACATCTATACATTACCATGAGCTAACTGATTGTCAGTTACTGAAGGCATGCAAGGTTACTGTCAATAACTGAAGGCATGCAAGGTTAATGTATATCTGCTTGTAAAGCACTTATTACAAACCACAAATATTTGTGTTGGTATCCGTCTATGGGCACAAGTGTGCTGACATACAAAACATGAGAAACAGTTTGTTTATACCTCATGCAAAAACTGTGTATTTCTCTCCTTTCATGTTGATTACTGTTCCTAGCTTCTTAACAGAATTTGATACCCTTCAGTCACTGTAGAGATTAGGGCTACATTATATCTGATGATTAAGTGTATGATTATTAAACCAGACAAAAATAGCTTGGAGTCCCCACCATATAATTAAAAAGTCTGCTTGAAAAATTATCTAATAGTTTCAGTCATTTCTTGTTATCGGAATTGCTCATTTTAATCTGTTTTCCCAGTTAGAGTGATATCAATTATATTTAGTATTAAGAAAATATATTGTAATGTTTATTAAGTTGCATATTTGAGATTATTTTCTCTCAATATTTTCTGTTGTGCATGATGCACACTTTTCTAATCATAAAAAATGTTATCAGGAATAATGTACCCACTTAATTCTAGAGTACTATTTAACAGGCAAAAAAAACAAGATAAACCACTGAACTTTTATGAGCTACATAATACATGACAGTATATTTTTGTAAAACAGTTCTTCATGTCTCAGGACACTCAAAGAAAAGGCTGAATTTGAATGAAGACTAACAAAAAAGCTCACTGAATCATGTGTGATTTGCCATATGGAAATATATTCATTTGTTCTTTATTTCTTTCTTTAAAAAATGGTAGGTAGCTTATTTAGTTAACAAATGCTTTGGTTTTTATATTTCAATAGGTCGAACCTGTCAGTATATGATTATACTTAAAATTTGTAGTGGTAGCAAGGGGCATGAATAATCACTTTCATGAAAATGGCACTCTCTAGTTCAGCAAGCCTGTTTCCTAAAGGGTTCTGCTTCTCATTCAGGTTCTTGGAATGAAGGATTGCAGGGTTCCCACAGCTCACAATCAAGGGGACTATATTTTACTGAATAGGCCATAAACATAAGATGTGTTTTCTTACGGCGATAGGCACTAGATGGTAACCATCTAAAACAAATAGTATTAACACACTCCCTATGAATACTGTTCTCTGCTGTGAAATAAACTTACATATTGTGATAAATTTCTTCCTCAAGATGCTGAACTAGCATGCAATTCATTAAGTAAATGAGATTTTTTTTTTTTTTTTTTTCACTACAGCACATTGCTAAATGGCAATTGTCCATTGAATAAATATGCTCTAAAGGCAGGATTGAGTACATTTATTCTAGTAAATTTAATCAATTCATGGTTGAACTCATTTTAATTTAATTGTTGTATTTTTTCTCTGGTGGAATGTTTTTAAATAGGATCCAGAGTCCTTGCACCCCCAGGGAAAAAAGGGCATTTGCTAAATGGACTGTTCTTTACATAAACTGCAAGTAAGGGTTTGTATTAATTGGACCACTAATAAACACATTGGTCACTGTTCCTGCTCATTCAGTGTATTACTCTGAGAGTTTCTGAAGAGCAATTTTTACTTGATTGTTCTTTGTGATAATTGCATCTCTTTTTGTTAATTACATCATCTAGTGATATGCAGACAGAACATGATAACTGTGCAGACAGATCATGAAAATTCATGTGTTTTAGAGGAGGAGAAGGGCATAGAAAAGGGAAAAAAAATAAACTTCTTAGAAGCAGTTCTTCCTCGAAGCAGATCATGTTGACTGCAATTCTATTTTAGGAAGGAATGTAAAGTATTTTTTTTTTTTAATTTTTTTTTTAATGAGGTGTCTAGATGTTACACAGATAATCATCACAAAAAGCTTATCGGGAAAGTCATACTTCGTTATCTCCAGGAACATTTAGACAATACTGAGAAAAATGGTTTAAAAATGAACAAGCAAACTGTTTCCTTCCCTAAAGAGTGGCCTGGGGAAGTGATTATGACAGACTGTATAGTTCATTAATATTTGAATAATTGAGATGCATAAAGGATTTTGTAGGTAATTTCCTTAGTTTTGATTTTTATGTTTATCTATATAGATAATGTGAGCACACTGTTCCTCGGTGCACATATGTATTATCTGTGTGTGAGTGTGTATACACATATGTAAAAACACAGATTTATATATACAGATTTATAGCAAGGCATTTCTGAAAAAAACCCAAAACAAAACAGTAGAACTCTCTGACCTTTGAGGATAATAGACTCTGTTTCTCCTCTTTAAAGATAAGAATTGAAGGAAAATATTTTCAGAATCTTAGAACAGTTGTAGCCGAAAGGAACTTCAGGATGTCACCTCATCTAAACCCATACCCCAAAAAGCGAGTCCAGTCTGGATGTTCTATCAGGTTGCTCAGGATTGTGCACAACTGAGTTTTATCTCCAAGGAGTGAGATTCTATTTCTTCTTTGAGCAACTTGTGCCATTGTTTGGCCACACAATAGAAATTCTTATCATCTACTGAGAGCTTCCCACCTTCCAGTTACATCCATTACCTCTCATGCTTTCACTATTGTGAAAGCTACTTGAATTTATACAGTACTTGAATTGCTTTACACTTTTCAAGACAGCAACTCCGCTATGTTAAAATAAGTTATACAACTATGAAATTAAGACTTCTTCAAAGAATGAAAAGTAAAACCTATGATCTGTATCAAACCATCAGTCTTTTCAATACATGAGTTAGTCTGTAGAATGTTAGGGACATACTGTTAAAAATACTTCAGTGTTGTTAAGTATGACCAATTTCTGGATAGCTGTCTTGGCAAAATATTTCTTTATTTATTTTTAAAAGAGATGGCACTGACCAAGGCCTAGATTCCCCCCACTCCCCCACTTTGGTTCATGGGAAAACAGGTTTTTTATCCACACAGACCAGAGAAAAACGATTGGTATTACTGTGTACTTTGGTTTTGTTTTGTTTTGGTTTTTTTTAAATAATTCATCTGAAGATGTGGTTTGGTCTGTATACTGTAAACACAGGAAAGAAAACAAACATACAAATAAATAACAACTATTTTTTTCAAATAAGAATATGTACAGGCCTTCAGAAAATAGTAATACTTAAGAGAAATAAAATAAATAGTTTTGAGCTTTGCTTAGAAAATATTACTTGTACTAACATTTACACCATTCCTATATAGCATCTACATATGATTCACTGTATACCTATCTATCTGGACAGTCCTGAATTTCTTGACTATAATCTCCTCCCAGTTCTTAACAAACAGGACAAATTTTTGTCTTATCATGTCCTTTCTATATTAATATTATAATAGAATTTGCTTTTAAGCTTTGAATATATGTGAGAAAATGTATTCTACCCAATGTATGAAGTATTGTATTAATCTAATTAAAATGACAGGAAAATTAATGTTGAAATTAGATACCTAATTAAGAGTGTAAAGTGCTTTTTATTCCCTTCCTCATAACATGAAATTGAATACTAATATATAATGATTAATTATTTGAATTAAAAATGAATATTGTCATTCCACTTGATCTTCATTTACTTAAGAAAATTAATAAATAGCAAGAAAAATGTTCAGGCATGATGTAAAAACTTTAATGTTTATACTGAAATACCTAGATGTCCAAATTAATTAGCAAATATGACTTGTGCAGGACATGTGAGGAACATATCCAGGAAATATGGCAGAGGTGATTTCTGTTAAGACATTTCTAAGCTGAAAGCAATACTTCTATTAAAATACTACTGTTAAAAAGCCTGCTGGAAATATTCAATGTGGTAGATGACAGAGTAGGAAATGGATAGCATATTTTCATCTAGTTTAGATTTAAATAAGAAGGTAAAAATATAAGTTTATATTGTGAGTAATCTAGGCTACACTAGTTTCTGTTAAGTTAGTCTCTTGTGTAATATAATTCAAGTCCAAGTTTTCTTTCCGGTAGCCGATTATAATAATTTGATGTCTATATTGTTATTTAGTTGTTACCTCTTGACTGGATCCCATTTTAAGACACATTACATCTTCTGTAATTAGCGCAGACAGATGCTGAAATTTCTTGGTCTATGAAGCACAGTATATAAGATTCAAATTCTAATTCAGTTTCAGTATTTTTTAACTGTATGTATATTTCCCTTTTATTTTGAAATTACACAGTAAATGAAAATCACTTTAAGATTAGATTTTTAGTTGGAAGTTAGAGTTAATTAAGCAAATGAATGTAGTGGGACCTCTGTGTGTTTGTGCACATATACACTTGTATTTAGATTTATATATACACAAAAACATCTATGTATGAGTAGGTTTATCTTACTTTCTCTCTGTGGTTCTTTCTGTACTAGCATATGCTATTAGTCTTTCTCAGGCAAGCTTGAAACCATTTGTAAAACTAATCATTATTGCTAGTAAATTATAAATGTATATTTTCTTTTTCCATCACATTTGAAAACAAATAATTTTCATTTATTTGTACTTGGAGCAAGTGGACCTTATTGAAAAAAGGCCTTTTTTTTTTTCTGAAGGCTTATGTTGTTCTTATGTGTGTTTTCCTTTTCAAGAAAATTGAGTTACATCATTGTCTGCTAGCTTCTGAGTAGTGGTTGGTGACCTATGGCTGGTCTCTTGAAAAAACTTTATATATCAAAATGGTCAGTGATACAATTTGAAAACTTGTAAAAAGTTATTAATTTCCCAGATACCACCATCTTCAGTCAGGCTAAAAAGGGACAAAGGCTTTTTTTTACTGCACTGCTAGTGAACACCATATGTAGAAATACAAAAATACATCTATTACTTATATATATCTGTATTATTTTCTCTTGCTTTACTAAAATAACAAATACATTATTTTGATATTTTTCTGTCCTCCTTGGATATGGTGACCCCTTTCTTCTCACATCCAATTTTCTTGATAACTCTGAATTTTTGCTGTACTGACTTACGTTACATCAAAATAAATTACTTGTGTTACATTAAAAACAAAAACAACAAAAAAAAAACCAACCCAAACTTATTCAAGTACCTCAGATGAAAGAGAACATAATTAGTGGTTGCTGAGTTTTATTTCATAGTATAAAAATGAAAATTTAAGAGGTAAGAGGCTTTTCTGTGGACAAGCGTTAAGATAGTTCTACAGGCTGACCTCTTCGGGAAGAGGTTGTACAGACTGACTTCCACAGTAAAACATAAATATGTTAAAAATAGAACAGAGGACATGTTAAAAAAATGGGGAAAAAAACCCAAAAAATCTTTGAACCAAAATGTCACAATCTAATGTGAAATAACCCGGCAATGTTTGCGTAGCACAGCTGCTGTGACAAGAAAGACTGGGAAGTACTTGCAATTGTTAATACAGTGGTCACAGAGATGGAAAATGTATCTCAGATTAAGAAAACATGTCTCATTTAACTGATCCAGAGTCAGAGACACTGATGTGCTTTGCTAGCCTTCCAGAGTGAGTCTCCAAGAGGGAAAAGAACATAATGACAGTTTAACAGAAGAACAAATGTATAAAAATGGACCATGAATAAATTTAGGCTAGAAATTATGAGGCTATTTCTAGTATTGGGAGATTGATTTTCTATAACAGTTTTATAGTAGCATGAAATATGGCCAGAAATGGAAATTGATACTTTTATGAATGACACAAAACAAGTGCTTTCTTTATAACTATTTATGTGTTTCAGGGATGAAGCATGGCATGTGTGTCTCCCATTCAGAAACGAGTAGCCTGAATAAAGGTTCTAAAATTGTTTGGGCTAAAAATAATTTTTAAACTATATAGGGCCATTTTCTAGGCTTACTTGCTGTCACTCTTCTTTATGACTTACCAAGTCACTAAGCAAAATGAATGCAATTATGAACATTTACAACAAAAGAAAATGTAAGTAATCAACCCGACACTAAGAATTTATTTCACCTAAACAATGGCTTAGGCACTGAACTCCACTATTACATTTTAATCTACATTCACAGTTGTCCAAAACTTGCCTCTTAAATTGTCACATCATTTCTGATCACCACAGTGCTGTAGAGGTACTTTATACTATACATTCAGGTACCTATCTGTATTTCATACAATCACTTCTATATTTTGTTACCTTTATTTGTTGTTCTCTTGGGTTTTTTTGATATTTTGTTTCTCATTTTTCTGAAAACATAGTAATGGAGGGGGAAAAAATTAGGCATGTCATGATTCAACTTCTCTGCTTGCATAACGAAGAAATTATTAATTAGTGTGTTAGCAACACTGTATTCCATTTTCCGTACTAGAACACTAAGTGCTTCAGTTATTTTCTTATGTATTTATTTTACTTTTAGTGTTTCCTAGCCTCCATCTCTGTATAATCAGATAAAGTGAAAGAAAGGTTCCTTGTAGAATCTGGAAAAATGTGTGGAGCTTCTCTTTTGCTGTTTTTATTTTCATGTGTTTCTGTTTTCCTTTGCAATTTGAAAAAGAGTCAGATATTATAAGTGATATTATGTGCTTGGGCTGTTTGCCATTTTATCAGGACCAGTGCACATTTTATATTTCAGATCTGTCAACTTGGCTTTGTTTTGTAAAATGCTGGTCCCTTGATGCCTTTTTTTGCCATCTGCTAACCTTCATAGAGTTACACTGAGTGCCTGATGGCATGCCATAGATGTTTTGTCACCATTTGCATTCCTGAAAGGTTTTCCAAACACCCA